CCCCCCTGTCGGCGTGTGCCCCATGTTGGGATCCACTGTTCTAGACCGACGATGAGGTTGCCAACGCCTCGAAGGAGAGCTCCCTCTCAGGGCAGCGCTTTGGGGAAGAAAGCTCAGTCTCAGGGTCCCGCCAGCAGGGGTGGGGAGCCTCTGTCCTGCCAAGGGCCATATAAAATCACCACCTTGAAAACGAGTCTGCTCTACTTGGCCAAACATTTATTGAGCTCACCACCCTATTGCCTCGGCAAGGCCAGACCAAAGGGTTTCATGGGCCTTACGCGGCCTGTGGGCCAGACATTCCCCAGCCCTGTCCCTAAAGGAAAGGCTGGAGAGGGGCCCCCGCCTGCCTGCCTGAAACTTTGTAGAATTGGAGGCCAGGAGAAGGCCTTGGGAGCTCCTGCCTGGGCCCCTAAAATATGTCAGTCCTCCCGGGGCCCAAGGCTGGAGCTGAATTAGAAGCCCACAGAGCAGGGCTGCCCGCAGGAGAAGGATCCTGAAAGGCCAGAGATCATTCAGGCGCCACAGGAGCCCCAAAACAATAGGGCTCCCTGGTTGAGGGCCGCGCAGACCCAGATCCTGTGGGCCAGCAGGGACAGGGCAGTTCAAGCATGTCAAACTGTGGCCCGCAACAAATATTTTTGCGGCCCAGCCAATATAACAGTATGTAAGAAACACTTTAATAAATATTTCATAACTTAAATTTTTTACAATATCCTGTTATACATAATCCTATATAATGAAGAGCTAATGTGCAAGTGATTGTCACACCCTAACGGCTCAGACACTCAACACTGGGCCAAGAGATGTGGGGACAGCCAGGCACAAATGAGAGGAATGGGACCAGCAAGGCGGCAGCCCAGGGCAGCCCAGGAGAGGGACAAGCCACCCAACCCGCCCACAGTCCTAAGCACCAGTGGCTATGCCTGCGCCTGGGCCTGACCTGGAAGAGACAAGCCATCTGCCCCTCAGTCCTGAGTGCCAGTGGCTGCGGCTGTGTCCCAGGTGAAGCCACCCACCCATAGTCTCCTGCAGCTGCAGCCAGCCCTGGTGAAGCTGACCCGGGTACTGGTGCCTGCAACTGGCCAGAGGGAGGGAAGCCGAGGTCCCCGGTGCCTGTAACCAGCAGGAGGAAAGAATCCTGAGTCTTGGGTGTGGGGTGATACAGAAGCAGTTAGGGGAGATCAGGCCAGCAGGGGAGCAATTAGGGGAAATCAGGCCCACAGGTAAAGGTGGTTAGGGGTGATCAGACAGGCAGGCAGATGGGTTAGAGGTGATCAGATAGACAGGCAGGCAAGCGGTTAGGAGCCAGCGGTCCTGGATTACAAGAGGCAGTCAGACATCCCCCAAGGGATCCCGGATTGGAGAGGGTACAGGCCGTGTGAGAGATCCCCACAATGCATGAATTTTGTCCACCGGGCCTTTAGTTCTTAATAATAAACTACAATTTCAATAATGTCTGATTACTATAATCGTGTTGTATTCATTGCCCTTACGCTCCCTATGCGCAGGTGCACCATTTCTCTCCACTAATACCAGCAGGGAGTATTTTAGCAGCCGATGGCCACGCCATTAGCCTTGGACTAATTTATTATTTGGTGTGCACAACAGGAAATGTTTTGCTTTCGGAGAACAAGAAAAATAGGTGTATCTGCATTATGCTTATTAATTTGTGCAGTTATTTGGTGCCTGATAAGTTAATGTTCAAGAAAAAACGTTAATTTTTATTAAAATGTTCTATTATTTTTTGTTAATTATTTATTGCAGCCCTTTGTATTCAGCATGGCTCCATTGAAATAAATCTGTGTGTCTATGAAAATTGAAGCTTTTGGTTTTTTTGCGCCCACATGAAGTTAAACCTTGTTTATTTGGCCCATGTTAGCCTTTGAGTCTGACATGCTTGGGGTAGTTCACGTCATTAATAGGACAGTTTGTCATCCGCAGCGTCACCCCCTGTGTCAGCCAGGGGCACTCATCTGGTTGAGATTGTGATTAAAAATAAAAGTCGAACTAGCAGCCTCGAGGCCTCCTGCTTCCTGCTGCTCCTGGGCTGGAGCGGGGAGGCTGTGAAGGGAAAGAAACAGAAGAACAAGGTGAAATCAGTGTTTCAACTCTGCCGCGAAGAATGGAGTGTGTCGGGCACCTTACCGAGGCCACAGGACCGCTTTGCAGGGAGCCGAGGGCTGGCTCCCGCACCCTCAGAGCCCTGGGCCCGCAGAGAAGGTAAGAACTGGAATGGCATTTAGAAAGCAGGTGGACTCTCACCCTCAGCCATGCGCCCGCACTTCCAGCAAGGCCAGTGAGAACTAGCCCTTCTCCCGGGACAGAGGAGTGCTGCTATGCACTGGATGTGTGTGTACACCAAAGTTTCCTCTCTGAAATCGATAAAAATAGATGTGTACTAGTAGCCACCGCATAATACCGGGTGCAGTAGGCCGCCCGCCGCTTCCACAGGAGCTGGCGGGAACCACAGCACACTGCCGGGAGCCGAGCTCCTCCCACGGGAGCAGTGCGGCTTCCCAGGGAGGTGCAAGCGAGCTGCCGGCGCCCACGGTGCCCACGGGAGCCAGGAGCGATGAGCACCAATTCCGTGGGAGGCAGGAGGGACCCATGCTGCTTTTCTGGGACACAGGCCTGCAGTCTCCTCTCCAGGCCCGCACTGGGCTGCCCCCCCCCCCCCGCCCCCTCCACCATCCCTGTCCGTGTCTGCTCGGCTCTGGGAGCTGGCCCGAGCCAAGTGCGGCGACAAAGCAAGCATTCCACCAGGCCACTCGTGCTGCCCTCTCAGTGGACTGGGGGACTCCTGCGGGGCCGAGAGGACTGGGCGCCGCCACCTTTGTGACAGTGACTGCTCATTTGCATATCACCCTCTTATTAGATAGGATGATATTTTTGAAAAGTCCAGACACAGTGCCATGAAGCCTGTCCTGGAACTGGGAGGTGCAGAGCCCTCCTGAGAGAAGGCATGTGCCCTGGACCAGAATCGAACCCAGGATCCTCAGTCCGTAGGCCCACGCTCCATCCACTCAGCCAAACTGGCTGGGGCTGAGATTGTCCTTTTTAACCCCCTCCCTCCACCCGCATCTCTGAGCCACACCGCGGGCCAGAGGCTGCTTTCACCCACAGCCTCTCAGCTGATACAAGTTGCTCTCAGCCTCGGAAAACAATCCCGAGTGTGCAGGAGAGCGAGGGCCCCTCAGCACAGCTGACACAGCCGCTTCCTTCTCCACAGGGGCCACTCCTGCAGTCGGTGCAGATCGATCCTATCCATCGGGAAAACACCACAAGCTTGAATGAGAAAAAAGAGAGCTTTGTCCCACACTGGGTAAAAGAGTAAGAAATGCCAACAGTGAGAAAACGCAACCCAGTCCTCTCACCGAGGGAGCTGTGAACCCCTGGGGCGCAGGATGTGAGTGAGCCAGTGACACTGTTCTTAATTGAATTCCTCCACCTGTGAACCAGGAGGTCAGGATTCAAGCCCAGGTCGCCGGCTAGATCCCCTATCGCGGGCGTGCAGGAGGCAGCTGATCAATGATTCTCTCATCATTGATGTTTCTCTCTCCCTTCCTCTCTGAAATCAATAAAAATATTTTTAAATGCTTCCTGCAGTATGTTCCAATTATAAAAAGACATTTGATAAAGAAAAGGACTAAGATCGGATACGTGTCTACTGCTCACCATGCACCAGGCACTGTTTTAAATATTTTGCATAGGTTAACTCATTTAATACTTATAAAAGTCCTGCTATCCCCATTTCATTGGCGAGGAAAATGAGGCAAGACGGGTTAAGGCCATCGTGAATTCACAAGCTCATCAGCAGCCTTTCCTGGACCCAACCCAGCAGTCCAGCTTCCAGCTGGACCCTGACCCGCTGTGACCTGCACTTGCAGCCTGATTGGGGGGTGGTTCACTCTCTTTGGGAAAAACCCAGTGTTATAGTAATAGTAATAAGGATAAATATAATGAATAAGTGTTAAAGTGTGTAATTGAAGTGTGATATCTGAAAGTATGGAATGGAATGTAAACAAACTGATAAGCACCCTTGAGTGCTTTATGTAGAAAATAGATAAAGTGATCTGTACCCCATATGTAAGACCAGATAGCAAGGCTCCTGGGACCCGCTGATAAGACACACTGAAGACACATAAGAGCAAGCTCCACAGCAGATCAGAGATGTCCCTTCTGCTCCTCCACAGAGGGTCTCTCTCCACTTCCCCTGCCTGCACCAGTCAAATCTTTGCCTGAGCAAGGAGCCCTGAACCCTGAGCCGCGGCCCTTGAGCCATCATGAGAGGCCTCAACTCAAGCCGAGCTGCAGCTGCAAAGTTCTCCGTGAACCGTGTGTGTGTGTGTGTGCGCGCGCGCGCACGCTCCCCAGGTGGCCTGCCTAGGATTCTGGAACCAACCAGGACTCTGGTAAATAAGCCGTGAGTGATTCATCTCCTGTGTAATTTATGCTCGGTGGATTATTGATTAAGGGCCTAGGGTCCTACTGTCAGATTTCTGGCTGAGGCACCCTAAGTCACCTGTGCATACGTCCCTTATGGAATTATTGGGACACCCAGAGATTGCAACCTTCTAGAAAGATCTGAACAATACTCTGAATTGCTTATAATTGCCCAGCACTTGAGCCGCAAGCTACGTATAAAAGATAACCCGGGGCACAGGTCTGAGAGCCAATGTGGCTGCCCTGGCTGTTTCTGGGCTTCAGTGCTCGAGCTGGAAACCCAGCAAGTTGGGGTCGGCCCGGCCAGAGTGCAAGTGGCCATAGGGTCCAGGTGCCGCCTGCCCCCGCACCGCGCAGAGCTCACAGGGCGGGAGGAGGGAGCATGGAGGAGGGAGGAGGAGCAGGGAGGAGGGAGGAGGGCGGAAGCCCGGGGCGCGAGTTCGGACCTCCACTCCGTGCACCACATCCACTGCGGGAGGGATGCCCCACTGCGCATGCCCGCGCCTCCAGCCTCCCGACCCGGGTAGCAACACGGTCACGCGGGCTGCGCCGGCCAATCACGGCGGAGGGCGGGGCTTTCCGCAGCGACTTCCGGCAATAAACCGGGACGCGCCGGCGTCAGGTGCGCCCCGAGGCGGTCGGCCATCCGGCGGAAGGGCACGCTCGGCGCGCAGGTAGGGACGGCGGGCGCCCGGGCCGCTTCCCCTGGGGCAGGGCGTGGCGGTGCCGGGGCCTCCGCGGGCCGGCCCGCCCTCCGCCGGCTCCGGGCCGGTCCCGCGCGCCGCGCCGATCCCGGGCCCTCCCCTCGCCGCCGCCGCCGGGGGGCCCGGGCCGCCCGCCCTCCGCCGCCCCGCGGCCCCGCCCCGCCCTCCTCGTCCCCGCGGCCGCCCCGCCGCCTCCCGGGGCCGCACTCACTCGTCCCCAACACGGGTCCCAAGCGCCTGAACCCCGCTGTTCCCCCAACCCGGCCGCCCGCCCCGGCGGCAAACACCTTTCTGTCCTCTCTCCTCCCCTCCCTCCCCTCCCAGCCCGGGCCTCTCCGGCCCCCGCACCCCGGCTCTGCCCGGCCTCACGGCCCCGCGTTCTTCCGGGCCCGGCGCTGGCCCTGAGGCCTCAGCTCCGGGGGGTGAGGAGGGCCGCCTGGCCAAGCGAGGACCGTGACTCTGACAGCAGGGAAACTGGTTTTTCTTTTCTTTTAAAAAAATATATTTTACTGATTTTTTACAGAGAGGAGGAGAGAGGGATAGAGTTAAAACATCGATGAGAGAGAATCATCCACCAGCTGCCTCCTGCACGCCCCCTGCTGGCGATGTGCCGGCGACCCAGGTCCATGCCCCTGACCGGAATGGAACCCGGGACCCTTCAGTCCGCAGGCCGACGCTCTATCCACTGAGCCACACTGGTTTCCGCGAAAAACTATTTTTTCAAAATTAATGATGCGGAATGACAAATAAGGGGGCTCCTTTGCCAGCTTTTTTGCCCTGAAAGTGCCTTAACGTTGCCCTCGCAGCCCGCTGTTGGTATTTGTCCGCAGTGTGTTTATGGCATAGCTCCTGCCCAGCACTCACAGGTGCCCAGTGACTGCTCCACTCCCTTCCCTCTCACTGAAAATCAAGTAGCAAACGTATGTAGTCTTTTCTTCTTCCTCCTCCTCTTCTTCTTCTTCTTCTTCTTCTTCTTCTTCTTCTTCTTCTTCTTCTTCTTCTTTTTGTTAATCCACCCAAGGATATGTTCCCCCCCCCCTTTTTTTTTTAGCTTCTCAGCTAGGTGCACACTTAGGGAAGGTGCCCACGCATAGTGATACATTGCTTCTGTGCTTACATCGGAGTACCCCTGTATTTAGTTGGTCTGTTGAACAATATTCTGCACAGTTGCCACTAGATTTTTATTTTTTAACCACGGAATTCTGAATACATGGAATAATATTGAGAGAAATTTTGACTTTAGTTAAAGATGGTCCTAGCAGACATTTTTCTTTGGTATGTTTCTTATGAGACTACCTCATGGGACTTGCCTTCCTTTGGAGAGTGTTCTCTGGCCTATATCTGAAACCTCATGAAAATAAAATGCAGATGCATGCTGTTGGGGGCAGTCGTGGGTGACCTGCAGATGCTGGGCATGGCTTAAGGAATGATTTTTAAATATTTTCTAAAGCAAAAATTTAAAATAATATATGACTGAAAAATTCGTACACAGGTAGGTCCGTAGACCTGGCCAGTAAGTCAGTTTAGCTAGGTTTTAGATTCTCTTGTTATGATAGAAAGGAAAATTACTTCATCATGCATTTCGTATATCAGTTCAGGAACTGAGCACTGGTAGTCGACCCAGGAATATTGTTGAAGACTTATCATTTCCTTTAGAAGATTTTTGTATTTTCTAAGCCATTATAAATGCCTATTTAATAACCTGTGTTAGTCAGACTGAATATAGTTGGAAGGTTGTATTTGAACATTTCCATCTCTCACGTACCCTGTAAATATCCCACGTTAGTGAACTATATCAAGTCCAGTTTGGGACATCAGATTAATATAGCACACAAGAGACCCGTGCACGAATTTATGCACAAGTGGGATCTGGCCAGCCCTCCTCGATTGGAGCCGGCTCGGGGGAGGGGTCAAGGGCAGTTGACTCGCCTGCCCCACCCCCTGATTGAATTCCCAGTCAAGAAGGCAATTTGCATATTAGCCTTTTATTATATAGGATTGTTCTGTTAACTATTTTGGTTGAGTTATCGCTACTATTTTGTAGATTTAGTGAATAATTTTCTTTCCTTTTTAAAAAAAATATATTTTATTGATTTTTTTACAGAGAGGAAGAGAGAGGGATGAAGAGCTAGAAACATCGATAAGAGAGAAACATCGATCAGCTGCCTCCTGCACACCCCCTACTGGGGATGTGCCTGCAACCAAGGTACTTGCCCTTGACTGGAATCGAACCCGGGACCTTTCAGTCCCACAGGCCAAGATTTAGTGAATAATTTTCAGTTCTTACATACTTCATAGCATTTTCCTCTTTGAGCATCATTTCTTGCTTACCATACACTGTTCTCTCAATATCCTCCTCTGCCTGCCTGGAGTCTCTTCCTTTCCGTTTCCTGTCTGGGCTTGTCTCCGTCTGCGTGTCGTCCTGGCTCTCTTCTCTGTTCCCCTCTGATGGCATCCCTGATGGGCGCGTGTGCTTGCTTCCTGTGCTCTCCGCCTGCCCTCTGCTGGGCCCTGGTCTGTGGTGCGTGCTCACTCGGTACTACGCAGCCCTGCGGTGCGCCAGGCACTGCTCACGGTAGTTGGCTTACAGAGTTGAACAAGACATTGCGTTTTCTTGGAGGAAGACAGACAGGAAATGCGTTCGTGTTCCAGACAGCACCTACTGCTGTGCCATCACTGATCCCAGCGGAGAGACCTGGGAGGGCCGAGGCACACGGGAGCTGACAAAGCTTCCCAGTCTTCGTGCCCAGCAGAGTCCGGGGCAGGCAGCTGGCAGCAGTAGGAGAGCTGGTATTCCAGGTCCCATCTCATTGGTTCCTAAGCATGATGCTTCCTTTGTAAGTCATCATTCTAAACCTGGAGTCTAGCATAGTGGCTGTCACCACAGGCCTAGCAGACCTGACCGGCATGTCAGCCGTCTTCTCTGTTCCTCACTTCCCCTCCAGCCGGTGGGCGCCTGGCCTTTTCCTGGGAGCTCAGGTCCTCGTCGCTGGCTTCCTGGGAGTCGGGGGAGCACAGAGAAGCCCCCCTAACGGCCGATGGCCTCCGCCTCCTCAGTGGTCCCTTCTGCTGTTCCTGCTGCAGCCATCCCCCTCACCGCTTACAGGTCTGCGGCCTCCAGTCCTAACTGTTGCCCCCAGGCACCCCCAGGCTGGTCTTCACTGTGTAAGCCCAGTTTCTGTAAGCTCAGGGGTGGCCCATCCCTCACCTGGAAGTTGCTCTCCGGGCCCTTGGGCTCCTGGCCTGACTCCCCAATCACTTCTCAGCTGCTCATTGAGCTTCGGCTGGATCAAACTGCCTGCAGCTGGTGGGCATGAATATGCTTCCTGTGTGGTGCTTCCAGGTTCTGGCGAAGGGAGCCAGCCCTGGGACCGGACCTGAGCAGCATGGCACTAGTAAACGCACCCTCCCTCCGCGTCCTAGCTGCCATTTTAGCACTGCCGAAGCACGGTTACCCCACCGTGTGATCACGCGTGTCACCAGCATTCAGCGCCGGTGCAGACATTGAGTATTAAGAACTCACTTTTTTTTTTTTTAATATATTTTATTGATTTATTCACAGAGAGGAAGAGAGAAGGATAGAGAGTTAGAAACATCAATGGGAGAGAATCATCGATCAGCTGCCTCTTGCACACCCCTACTGGGGATGTGCCCACAACCAGGTACATGCATGCCCTTGCCTGGAATCGAACCCGGGACCTTTCAGTCCGCAGGCCGATGCTCTATCCACTGAGCCAAACCAGTCCCGAAGAACTCACTTTTAAAGGGGAATGAGGAGTGACCTGAGTGGAAAGGAAGCTGCTGATTCACGCGCATCTTACCCTCGAATCCCCTGTTTTGCAGAGCGATGCCGTTCCTGGGGCAGGACTGGCGATCCCCTGGATGGAGCTGGGTTAAAACGGAGGACGGCTGGAAGCGCTGTGAGCCCTGGAGGGAGGACCTGGACCGGGAGCGCCCCCAGCGCAGCGCCCCGCACAGCATGTAAGCCGCAGCCTGCCCTGCCCACCCGGCCAGGGCTCATCCCCTTTCCCGCCTCCGCTGCAGAGCGCTGCCGCTCGGTCTGGCTGAGAGGAGCCTGCACAGGCTGGTGTGGGGAAGGGAGTTGTGTAGCTCAGGTCTGAGCCGGGACGTGGCCTGGCTCCACCCCCAGACGCCGCTTTGTTCCCGAGCCAGGGCTCACTGCCCACACTCGAGGGAGCCAGTCTGCGAGGGAAGACAAGGCCTTCGATGGTGGGCCAACCAGCCAGGCTCCTGTGTGTCCTGGTCCGGGGCCAGGCCCAGGAAAGGATAAGAGGCCTCGGGGCACAGGCGGGGTGTGGACGTGCCAGCGGGTCTGGGTCGGTTGGCGTGTTTGTGTTTTTGCAATTCCACCGGGATGACACTGCCGGGGGCGCTGGCTGGGTTCTGGTGAAGGAGCGGCCGGGCACAGTGCCGGGCACTGCCTGTGGGTCCGGAGGAGTCCGGGCGGGGTCGGTGCTGCGCCCTGGGGCTCCGGAGGTGCCGAGGCCACGGCTGGACCCCCGCTGCCCGAGCAGGCTTCTGGGTTTCCCCTTTCATGTAGCTTATTGATCTTCTCCGTGTTCTTTCCTGGCATCTCACTAGACACTCAGTTTCCTGTCCGGATTGGAATATTGTAAGTGTTATTGTGGTTACGTGGTTCAGTGGGCATAGCGGTGGAGGCCTTTGGACACCTGGGAGGCCATGAGGATATTCTCCAGCTCTGGTCACACCCAAGACATCCCAGGAGAGTGGGATTCCTTAAAAAGCACTCGAACCTTTTTAAAGTGTGGTCTTCCAAGGGAAAAAGGAAAGCTGCATTTTTTATTTCCTTACAAAATGCACAAGCTCTGACCAGCACAAAGTCAGAGCATCCAGGGGCCTCGGGCCTTGGAGGAAGAACTGTGCTCCGGAGGCCGCAGCCCGGGGAGGCGGCCCTGCCCCCCAGCGCTTACACACGTGCTCCACCAGCGCTCGGTGGCATTCGCTCCGCTCCCGGGAGGACGTGCGGCTCCCGGTTAACCCTGGCGGCTGCCTCCTATCTTCTCCTCCGGGGACTAGAAAGGAAATGTGGTTTGGAGTTGGCACCAGGTCAGACCAGCATGCCCAGGGCACTGTGTTCCTGCTGCTCAGGAGGGATGCCATCTGGGCGCAGAGGTCTGTCCTGACCGCTGTGCCAGTTACAAGCCAGCAGGGTATCAGCGTCCTGACCATGTGGCAGGAGAAGGGCTAGCTCTTTTCAGCAGAGATCTGTTCCGCACAAGAAACGCAGGCTCTGTCCTGTTTACAAGGACTGTGGGCAGGGAAGGTGAAAAGGAATAAAGCAGGTAGGAAAAAGTAAGCAGTTTTACCAAAGAAAAGCCACGAAAACACTTGCTTCAAAGAAATCGCCAAGAGGACTGCCTCGAGGCGAGGGCACTGGGAAGGCGAGGGAAGGTAACGGCTCTGGCCTGCAGGCGAGGCTCCCTGTGTGCGGGTGAGTGTGGTGAGATCCACCCCAGATCTAAATGTTTGGGGTTTGCCAGGAGGCATCTGGCCCTAGACCTGACTTTGTCCGGAAGTTGGTGGTTAGTCTGCTCAGATTTTGGTTTGTGGCTCAGAGGGGCAGGTGGTAGGTTGCTGCCCCTCAGAGTGGGCGGGTGGTGGGATTCTGGGCTCAGAGTGGGCGGGTGGTGGGGTTCTGGGCCTCAGAGTGGGTGGGTGGTGGGTTCTAGGCCTCAGAGGGGCAGGTGGTGGGTTGCTGCCCCTCAGAGTGGGCGGGTGGTGGGTTCTGGGCCTCAGAGTGGGCGGGTGGTGGGTTCTAGGCCTCAGAGGGGCAGGTGGTGGGATTCTGGGCTCAGAGTGGGCGGGTGGTGGGGTTCTGGGCTCAGAGTGGGCGGGTGGTGGGTTCTGGGCCTCAGAGTGGACGGGTGGTGGGTTCTAGGCCTCAGAGTGGGCGGGTGGTGGGTTCTAGGCCTCAGAGGGGCAGGTGGTGGGTTGCTGCCCCTCAGAGTGGGCGGGTGGTGGGGTTCTGGACCTCAGAGGGGCAGGTGGTGGGGTTCTGGACCTGAGTGGGCGGATGGTGGGGTTCTGGACCTGAGTGGGCGGGTGGTGGGTTGCTGCCCCTCAGAGTGGGCGGGTGGTGGGTTCTGGACCTGAGCTGTCTGTCAGCTTCTTAGTGTACTTTGCACTTGAGGAACTTGAGTTGTGACATCTCCGCCTTCATTTCTGAAGTTATTTGAGCCTGTTCTCTTTTCTTAGCTAAATGCTTGTCAGTTTTATGTTTTTAAAAAATCAGCTCCTAGTTTCATTGATTTTTTTAATCTCTATTTCATTTATTTTTGCTCCGTTCTTCTTTTTCTAGTTCCTTGAGGTGTAAAGTTAGGTGCTCATTTGAAAGCTTTCTTGTTTCTTGACGAGGCTTTTCTCACTGGACCCCTTTTTTAGAACTGCTCTGGCTGCATCCTGTAACCTTTGGTATATGTCCATTTTCATTCCTCTCAAGGTATTTTTAAAATTTCTCTTTTGATTTCCTGTTTGACTCACTGGTTGTTCAATAGCATGTTGTGTAATCACATATTTGTGATGTTTCCTGTTTTGTTCTTGTAATTGGTTTCTAATTCATAAATCATGGTCAGAAAAGGTACTTGATGTGATTTCTTCTTTTTTTAATCCTCAACCAAGGGTATTTTTTCCGTTGATCTTTAGAGGAAGTGGAAGGGAAGAAGGGGGTGGGGGGGAGAGAGACAGGAACATCCATGTGAGAGAGATACCTGGGCTGGCTGCCTCCAGCACTCACCCTGATGAGCTGAGATTTGCCTGGGAATCTAACCCGAGACTCTTCGATGCACGTCTGACCTTCTAACCGCTGAACATACTGACCAGCTTGGTATGATTGCAGTCTTAATTTCTTAAAGACTTGTTTTGTGGCTCAACATATGATCTGTCCTGGAAAATGGCCATGAGAGCTTGAGCAGAATGTGTGTTCTCTTGCTTTGGGTGGGAAGTTCTGTCCTCGCGTATATAAAGTCCATCTGCGCTGACGTGTCATTCAAGGCCAGTGTTTGCATCGGACCAGGGATATGGCAAATCATTAGTCACATGGGTTGTCGTATTAACTTCTTCCCCGAGCATTTCCAGTTTTGTTTATAACCTCCCTGTTTTAATAACGCATTTTGAAGGCTGAAACTGCATTGGTTGAACACATCAAAACCCATGGGACACTCTAAAATGTGCCAGCACTTCCTGGAATAGCATTCTCAAAAGAACCAAGATAAGTCTTAGGTTTCTCAAAAGAAAAAAATATATTAGACATTAGCCTTGTAATGTCAAACTGTGATGTGTCGCTTTGAAAATTAACAGCTTGCTTTCAGAATTCAACGTTTTTATTTTGATCTCCTAAATTGCAAGCCAGATACTTATTACCATTTTTTAAAAAGATAAGCCAAATGAAGATCTCCCTGTAAATATATTTTAATAAACTATCTTTATTTCAGAATCCTAAATAGTGAAGATGAAGAAATATTTACTGATGGAGAGCATGGATGTGCATCCAAGAAAAGGAAAAAGGACCATTTTAGAAATGACAGCAACACTCAGTGTAAGATCCTGTTAAAAACGCTACATTTCACTGGAGTTTGCTGGCACACTGAGCCCTTTCCACTGCTCACAGGAAAGGCGGCCTGTGAGCAATGGAAAGGCCTCCAGCGCTGCCCACAGCACTAGTCACCGAGCCTTTCAGCTCAACCATTTGTTACATTTCTTTAAAAATATGTTTTTATTGATTTCAGAGAGAGGAAGGGAGAGGGAGAGATAGAAACATCAGTGATGAGAGAGAATCATTAATCGGCTGCCTCCTGCACGCCCCACACTGGGGATCGAGCCTGGAACCTGGGCATGTGCCCTGACTGGGAATCAGACTATGATCTGGTTCATGGGTTGATGCTCCACCATTGAGCCATGCCGGCTGGGCTCAACCATTTTGTTAGTAAGATTTGCAAAAACAAAACAAAAGCTAGCAAAACCCACTACAGACCCGCACATCCGGGTGGCTGAACAGGGGTCACCATCCGTTCGCTCCTAGGCACGGAGGCGCGGCAGTTCGGAGCAGGACACAGGCGTGGGCAGAGCTGGGTAGTGCCTGGCGGGCGGCAGGCACTCCCCTGTGCACCCGCTCTGCACCGAGCGCCTCCGTGAGTCGTGAGGATGGCCCCCGGTAGGCTGTGCCGAGGACGAGCAGGTCCTCGGGGGGAGGATCATGACCCTTGAACTTTAGGATCCAGTTACATGAAACAATTTAATTAAATATAATTTAAAGGCAATGACAGGAGAATAGGACTTTTTATTAGTTACATAATTTACTAACTGCATTTTTATAATTATGTCTTCATATTATTTACAGTCATTAGTAAAACTAATTTTCTTCTACGTTACTAAAAGTTGGTACTGTCTGAAAACCATATTTCATGTAAAGATGTGTTTCAGCACCTCTTAAACTGACAATAAGAAACAGAATTTGTCCAGCCAGTGTGGTTCAGTGGTTGAGCATTGACCTATGAACCGTGAAGTCATGGTTTGATTCCTAGTCTGAGCACATATCCAGGTTGCATGCTTGCCCCCAGAGGGGAGCATGCAGGAGGCAGCCAATCCATGATTCTCTCTCATCATTGATGTTTCTTTCCCTCTCTCCCTCTCCCTTCCTCTCTGAAATCAATAAAATTAAATTTAAAAAAAAGAAAGAATTCTGTTCACATTTAACAAGTAAAGGCATCTCAATCTGTACATCAGATAATTTTGTTAAAATATGCAACTATTTTAAGATTCTGAAAATCTTCATTTTGAAATTATTCTCCAGATTTTAAAAAACAGTTCATTTCTGTTCTAGGTTTTTTTCGTGAAAAATGGATCTATGTCCACAAAGAAAGCACAAGAGAGGTAAGTATCCTATAGTGAGTGAGCATGTGTGTCCCACGGAACATGTAAATTCACGTTAAACAAATCTCTTCTGCAACCTCAGCCCTGTGGCTCCCACTAGACTGACGAAGACGCCGGGGTCTTTGAAACAGTGACCCCCGTGTGAGTGTGCACTGTGAGTGTGTGTGGCCGGTGCCTCTGGCACAGACTGAATAAGCTCTCCGGAGAGCCGCTGCTGTGGAGCCCTGCTGCTAGCAGGGGCATGGCCACCCGGGGCGGGATGGTGAGAACTCGCACCCCCTCATCCCCTACCGGGAGGTAAGTAACGGACTGTGACTGGCAAAGAGCAGTTTGAACCTTCCCCTCCTTTGTTTGGTCAAGTTGGAGAGGTGTGGCTATGAGCCAGGAAGCAGTCTGCTCACTTCAGCCGTTTCCTTTTTCTCTGCTTAGCATCTGGGAAGCTTACCTCTTTGCATTCTGAGAGACTCCGCACTTGCCTCATTTTGCAGGACTGGGGAGTGCTTTAGGGAGAAATTGTAGAGTCACATTCTGTTGTCCTAAGTTAGCTTTTCCAGAGGCGTTAAAAGTAGATGACATGAGCTGAAACCGGTCTGGCTCAATGGATAGAGCATCGGCCTATGGACTGAAAGGTCCCAGGTTCGATTCCAGTCAAGAGCATGTACCTTGATTTCTCTCTCATCGATGTTTCTAACTCTCTCCCCCTCCCCCTTCCTCTCTGTAAAAAATCAATAAAATATATTTAAAAAAAAAAGAAGAGTAGATGACATGAAACTAACTGGCTTCTGAGACAGGACGTATTTGCCTGCTTGGTGACGGCTTACATGGCTAAGTGGGTTCAGGAGGACTAATCCTTCGCACACAGTCTAATGCACCGTTGCACGAATGTTTGGCAGAACCTAACACAGTTTAGGTTGATGTAAGACTATGTAATACTTCATTGGTCTGTCTTACCGCACTGATGACAGGAAAGAGAACCAGCTTAGGCCAGCACAAGCACCTGACAGAACTCCTGTGAGGCTGAGGTGTCAGTGATCTCGGATCCCAGCAGCACAGTGTAACCAGCTCAGGGTGGGCAGGGCTCGGGCCGAGAGCTGGCACTTCCCTCGCCAGCTGTCTGGGCATCACTAGGCTGGCAGTCCTCTCACCCGAATGGAATGGACCAGGGGCCTCTGCTGCCCGTCTGCATGGCCCCTATGGCTACCCACAGGCCCCCCAGGTGGGCAAGCCCCTGTCATTCATACAGGTGAGTTGCTGTTCGCTCTGTGAACCAGGTCTTACTCCCCCAGAATGGGCTGTTGAGAGCAGGGCTTCCTGGAGAGTTGTCTCCCGCACCAGCACGCAGTTCTGTTCATTGAGAAGAAATGCAGTAGGAGTACCAGCTGGGATCGAGCAGGTTCTGTCTGGCTTTGCTCCCCGTGCCCCCAGAAGGTACTTTGCATATGGTAGATGCTCCCTAAAGCGTGTGAGTGCTGTGAGTGAATGCATCTTGTTGGTTTATGCACCTATAGCACTGTTCTTAGGACTTGCACAGACCTCCAGCCTTCCTGTGTGTCTTCACTGCGATAGGGCGAGCCGCCTCTTCAAGACCCTCCCCTGCCACCCTGGGCTTTCTGTGATTGGTGCCCCGTTTGACTGTCCCACAACTCTGCATTAAAAATCTCTTTCTATACTCTTCGTATTTCAAACACAGATGGTAGAATTTGAAGTGACACCTAATGTACAAACCAATCGGAATGCAGATGCATCATGGAGAAAACCATCTAGAGAGTGATGTTTCATTCTAAAAGACTGGCTCAGTGGGTAGAGCCGGCCTGTGGACTGAAGGGTCCCGGGTTCCGTCCTGGCCAAGGGCACATGCCCGGGTTGTGGGCTCGATCCCCAGTAGGGGGTGTGCAGGAGGCAGCCCGTCAGTGATTCTCATTATTGATGTTTCTCTCTCTCTCTATCCCTCTCCCTTCCTCTCTGAAGTCAGTTATATATAGGAGGGGGCTCAGAAGTGTGTGTGTGTGTGTGTGTGTGTGTGTATACATATATATACACTGAGTTGCTAGATCATTATGATCTCTGAACTGATAATTGGCCACTCTGTGTGTGTGTGTGTGTGTGTGTGTGTGTGTGTGTGTGTATGTGTGTATTAGAGGCCGGTGCTTGAATTTGTGCATGCGTGGGGTTCGGCCAGCCTGGCCAGGGGGAGGAGACATGGTCATTTGGCCCTGTCTGCTGGTCGAACTCCTGGTCGAGGGGACAATTTGCACATTAGCCTTTTATTATATAGGATATACATTGAATGGATAGATTATTATGCCTTTAGAGATCATAATAATCTGGCCATTCAGTGTGTGTGTGTGTGTGTGTGTGTGTGTATGTTTGTTTTTGTTTTTTTAAATATATTTTATTGATTTTCTTACAGAGAGGAAGGGAGAGAGATAGAGAGCTAGAAACATCGATAGAGAGAAACATCGACCAGCTGCCTCTTGCACACCCCCCTACTGGGGATGTGCCCGCAACCAAGGTACATGCCCTTGACCGGAATCAAACCTGGGGACTTTCAATCCGCAGACCGACGCTTTACCGCTGAGCCAAACTGGTTTCGGCCTATGTTTTAAAAAGTAATAAAAGTAAAAGACTGACTAGTGCTTCTTTTTTTCCCTCTTGGGCCTGGTCTAATTCCAGCTTTGGGGTTGGGTGCTGAACAGGCCCCGACCCCTGGTCACATTTCCCTGTGGTCACATCTCCCTGCCTCTGCCTGCCCCCTCTGCCTCGGGACTCCTGCGAGGGGTCACGTTCTCAGCATGCGTGTTCACAGTGGATCTTCATAGCGGCCACCTGCTGGACGTGCTAGCAGTTTCGTAGCTGAGAATATTCCCACTTGTTTTATTTCTGGCTTAACTGGCCCTCCCCCCAGATGCGTCCCAACAAAAGAAATTGGCGAGGTGCATGATTGTCTGTCTTTGTCTTCGTCGTCCTGTTCTGTTCTGTCCTGTCCTGTCCGCGGGGTGAGGGTGTCAGAGCTTCCTCAGGGAGGATGGTGCTAGGTCAGCGTGTGTGAGGGTGTCAGAGCTTCCTCAGGGAGGATGGTGCTAGGTCAGCGTGTGTGAGGGTGTCAGAGCCTCCTCAGGGAGTATGGTGCTAGGTCAGCGTGTGTGAGGGTGTCAGAGCTTCCTCAGGGAGTATGGTGCTAGGTCAGCGTGTGTGAGGGTGTCAGAGCTTCCTCAGGGAGTATGGTGCTAGGTCAGCGTGTGTGAGGGTGTCAGAGCTTCCTCAGGGAGGTATGGTGCTAGGTCAGCGTGGTGCTGGGTGTGTCTGCGGCCGAGTGGACCCTGTCCTTTGCCGACAGTTAACCACTACCCGGCGCAGACTCACCACACTGAGCGTCGCTGGCTTTGTGTGCGCCCGCTCAGCTGACTGTTCCCTGTTTTCCAGCGGCACGGCTACTGCACGCTGGGGGAGGCCTTCACCCGCCTGGACTTCTCGAGCGCCGTGCAGGACGTGCGCAGGTTCAGCTACGTGGTCAGGGTGAGTATCGCCTTCCCCCTTCCGGGGACCCCGTGCTCTGGGCTGCAGAGGGCGCTCCTGGCGGAGTGGGAGTAACCCCGGGGCGGGCTCGGTGCCGGGCTCTGCGGGCTCAGGTGGGACCCGGTTGGCCTTTGCGCTTTCTAGGTTTCTCCAAACCACGCGTGCACATACAGGGCACCATGGGAGGTGCCAGGGAAACAGACGTTTACCTGATTGTCCCCATGTGTCCTACTTCACATGTCACAGCTGAGCCTGGAAAGGGGAACCCAACAAAGGGAGCTCAGAGCTGTTGTGCTGCTGGCCCCTGGCTGGAGGGGATTGGTGTCTTAGCCTCATTCCAGAAAGGGCTCTGAGCCAGCCCAGTGGCCTCATTTGTGTAGAGGCTGCTCTGCTGCTTCTTCACTCCTGCGGTGGCTGTGGCTGTGGCTGTGGCAGTGGGTGACGGCTCTGCGGTGGCTGTGGCTATGGCTGTGGCAGTGAGTGACGGCTCTGCGGTGGCAGTGGCAGTGAGTGACAGCTCTGCTGTGGCAGTGAGTGACGGCTCGGCTGTGGCAGTGGCAGTGGGTGACGGCTCTGCGGTGGCTGTGGCTATGGCTGTGGCAGTGGGTGACGGCTCTGCGGTGGCAGTGGCAGTGAGTGACGGCTCGGCTGTGGCAGTGGCAGTGGGTGACGGCTCTGCGGTGGCTGTGGCAGTGGGTGACTGCTCTGCAGTGGCAGTGGCAGTGAGTGATGGCTCTGCTCACATGGTGGGACCTCTCACGTGGTCACGTTTTGCCAGTTCTTTACTAATCCTGCAGGCACCTCCTCTGCAGGGAAGCCTGGTCTCTGGAAATGAAGGCAGTCCCTTCTTCATGCAAAACACATGCTTCCAGAGTTCCTGGGCACAGAAGGCGCTCCCACTCCAGGGACACGCCTGTGGCCATGCAGGCAGGGCTGTTGGCTGCTGTTGCAGGCATTTCCTGTCATTTTTCCCTAATGGTGCTGGGACAGAGTGCACGGTGACATTATGTTAATGCCCCAGGAAACTAGATGAGGGAAGCGTGAGAAGCGCAGGGTGGGGCTTACAGTCTAGGAAACTCAGCCAGCCAAGCTGTAGCTCTGTGTGTTCAGAGACACCACAGAAGTGTCTGGCCGGTGAGAACCGGGTGGTGGAGGCCTTTTGTTCAGCCGATGGCAGGCCAGCGAGAGTGAACATCCAGGTCACTTAGAAATAGTCAGTGACCTGTCTGTATAGATCAGGACTGTCTGTGTTGTTCTTCAGCTCCCAGTATATCTCTCCTGTCCGCTTGGAACATGGCTCAGTGCTGCAACTAAGAATTCTTCCAACAGAACTTGAACTATAAGTATGCAATAATTCAATTTATATAAATGCTAGCAGTCTTTTTATTGATCTGAGAGAGGGAGAGAGAGAAAAACATCAACTTGTTGTTCCACTTATTGATACATTCATGGTGCTTCTTGCATGAGCCCTGACCGGGGATTGAACCTGCAACCTTGGCGTATGGGAAAGATGCTCCCACCTACTGAGCTCCTGGCCAGGGCCTAAAGTAACTGGAGCCGGTGACTGAGTTGAGGGCCCATGGGGTGTTAGTTCCCCAGGAATGGGGAGCAGAGGGACAGTCCAGAGGGGCAGGGGGCTCCCATCTCGCAGACCATCTGCTTCCCCAGTTCCCAGGAAGGGCAGGTCGCCTCAGGCAGCCTGCCTCCGGCTGAGGCGTCCTGGGGCCTTCGGGCAGAGGCTGGTCCCGGGCTGTGGAGAGTCGGGCCGCCGAGCTCCAGGGAAGTCAGGACCACAGGGTTTGCCAACAAGGTTAGGGCGGGGGTTTGCTCGGCTTCAGGAACATTGATGGAGAGCCCCCGCTTCTGTAGAGTTTAGGTCACTCTGTTTTACTGAGTAACATTGAGAACACTTTTTAAAGTGAGATAATGAAGCTTCAGACATTGATGCTGTTAGGAGCTCCTCACCAGGCCTTTCCAGCACACGGTGGTGGGAGGTGCCTGGTGCGGCCACCTGTGTCCCTCTCTGAGCTGTGACTTGCAGGTCGTTTTCTTCCTCTCCCCGGCCTCGGTCTTCTCATCTGTAGCCCAGGACCATAGTGCCGCCTGACGGGTGTGGGAGACTTAGGTTAGTCACGTGTGTTCTCCAAGCCCGGCCTGCCCCGCAGGCCTTCCGTGTTCCTGTTGGCTGTAAATCTGAATCCAGCGGGAGCCTGGACAGTCGCCAGTGTCTCCATGATACTGGAGAAGCAGCTTGGACCTCGGGGCCCCTCTGAGAACTGCTGCAGTACAGCACCTCCAGCTCTGCCCGCACTTCTCTCAGGGAGAGGGTGCTGTGAACGCCTCCTTTTCCTCTTTCCGGGAGGAGAAGGGTGCAGTGCTCCTGCACATCTGGGCTGTCTCCCTCAGGCTGCAGGGGGGTTCCCCTCCGTCACATCTCCGTCCGGCCTGCATTAGTCTCTGGACTCCTGGTCTCTGCTCGCTCCTCATGCAGGTGGAGGGGGTTACTCTGCATGGTGATGGCCAGCCCGAGGACCTGGAGCAGCACGAGCTGCTGAGAACGGTGCAGCCGGGCGGGTGGCAGGCTCTCACCTGGTCTGCCCGGTGCTGCAGTGTCGTCCGTGGTCACCGCAGTGCGGTATACGCTACGTAAATGGTAGAAGTGACAGGTGGTCTGTGGTGGTCGCCAGCCAGGACAGCTCTGAGCGTGTGGTTGGCAGTTTCTGTCCTCTGGAAGGCAGCAGAGGCCGCGGGGAGGGAGGAGGGGTAGAGAACCACTGGCAGAAGCTGGGCGGCAGGCGCCCTGCAGTCTGAAGTGCAACCAGAAGCAGCCAAGGTTGGGCCGTCGGTCAGGATGGTGCGAGTGGACGTGTTCACAGACGCAGGGCAGGTCAGGCGACATCAGCAGCCACACGTGTGGCCCAGGGAGTAAAATCGGATGGCAGGACGGCAAAGTCATGCGCTCGAGTCCTTGCTCGGAGCCCGTGGGAAATGCAGAGGCAGGCAGTACATGAGCCCTGTGGGAGGGAATGGCTCTCCCTGGAGAGAGAGGAGCAGGAAGCACTGGGCAGAGGACGGGAAAGGCCTCCACTCCTCCTGGGGCCTCGGCCAGGAGCTCTGCCCACCCACCTGCCTCCAGAAGGATGAGGCCAGAGGTGCTGACCCCGTGGGACAGGGTGGTGAGGCACCGGGGCCTGCACCAGTGGGCAGCAGACTTGTTAGGAGGGAGAGCCTGACGGGCTGGGGAAGCAGTTGGGGTTGGGGTTGGGGGGCTGGGAGGCTGGGGGGCTGGGAGCAGACAGACAGACAGTGTGAGCAAAGGCGGATAGAGGAAACAGGCCGTGAGGACGAGCCAGGACAGGAACTGGAGGGAGCCAAGTCAGACGGGCACTTGGAAATGGTAAGAGTCTAGGTGGCAGAATGAGAGGAGCAGTGCTTCTGAGTTTACAAGGTTAGAAAGGGGGGGAGCTTTGGAGAAAGGGCAGCCGGGAGAAGGCCCTGCTCACATATAATTGGAGTCTGCAGAGGAAGCAGACAGAGCGCGGGGACTGAGCACAGGCCACGGGTCCGATGCCTGAGGGGCACAGGCTCGGTCTGCACATGGAGGTGCGGGGCCGGCCCGCACAGCCGGCGTCACATCCTGGGATGAGGTGACAGCACCTCTCACCGAGGAACCCTGAGGGGCACACGTCTGTCCGTGCGTGTCGTCACTGTGGTTTGTGTTTCCATGTGAAGTAGATTTATGCTTAGCTTTTTCCCTCTTTCTTTTAAGCTATTGCAGCTAATTGCAAAATCCCAGTTAACCTCATTGAGTGGTGTGGCACAAAAGAATTACTTCAACATTTTGGATAAAATCGTTCACAAGGGTAAGAGGATGACTGATACTTTTCATCGTCTGAATCTTAATGAGCTTTAGTGTGAGGAGAGGGGTTTCTCTTAACCCTGCCCCCGTGTGTGTGTCAGATGGTGACTTCCGGTGCGCTTGGGGCTGCACCGCCATGCCAGCCTCCAGCTCTCACGTCCATGTTCTGTCCACGTCTTTACAGTTGCGTTTGCATAGGAGGGAGTATATTACATTAATATAAGGATTATGTTATTGTGCTTTTATAAGATAGGAAGATTCGTGAAAAGATATTTTACCTCTTCATGTAGCCAATCATATGTTTTCACTTTACCATATAATGTTTCCATAATCATCAGAGTTGGGGCTTAGTTGCTTCAGCATCAAATAAACCTATACATTGCTTTTTAATTTAGTAATTGTATTGGTTGATTAGAGGCTAATAGGTAGAATTTTAGATTTCGCACTAGGGTTATTCATGTATAGGATGTCCCCAAAAATGTATGCATTCTATAATAGCTGATCACTCCATTTTGAAAATGAAACGTATTGGAGCAAACACTGCCTGTGTATTGTCATAAAGTGTGTACACTTCGGGGGACGCCCTCTATTGCGTTAAGGGCTGAATGCAGCCATTTGTGAACACCATCTCTGTGGCGAATGTAAAGAACATGGAGACTGACCGTTCAAAGTAAAAAAGTAGACTCGACCAGAAATGCTCGTCAGGAAACACTTTAAAGTTTGTCTGAGTCTCATCACATTTGCGATAGCTCAGAGATGCCAGTTTGGGGTGCAGTGGAATTAGATCATTGTTCATTGTGACGAAATATAGACAGTGTAAAATGGACAGTTTCTCTTAAGCTACAGTCGGTGCCATTCGATGCTTTCACTCTGTTGTGTCATCGCCACCATCATCTCCCAGAACATCCTCATGTTCCCACTCGGCCGCTGTCCCACTAGACACTCCCTCCCCCCGCCCTCCCCCCGGTGCCACCGTCCACACGTCCCGGGCTCCGACTCCTCCGCCCGCGCACGGAGTTCAGCCTCTGTCCTGTCCGCTGGTCACCCTGAGCGTCGTGTCTCTGAGGCCCCCCACGGGGCAGCGTGCGGCGGGAGTGGAGTCTTCCTTTCCGAGGCTGAGTGCGGTCCGCTGTGTGCGTGCCCGTTTCCCCTGTAGGCACCACTCTCGGGGGGCAGCCGGCCATGCACGGTTGTGTTGTGTGTGTTCCAGTGCTCGACGACCACCAGAACCCGCGGCTGATCAAAGACCTCCTCCGAGACCTGAGTTCCACGCTCTGCACCCTGGTCCGCGGCGTGGGCAAGTCCGTGCTGGTGGGCAACATCAACATCTGGGTGTGCCGGCTGGAGACGGTCCTCGCCTGGCAGCAGCAGCTGCAGAACCTGCAGGTGACGCCGGTACGCCGCCGCCCGAAGCCGCGCCCCTCTCCAGGCTCCGCGTGGAGAGAGGCTCGTCTCCTCTCCGGGTTAATTCGTTGTTTTGGGTGGAATAGACCACGGGCCGGCTGCTGGGAGGGCTGACTGCCGGGGACAGGGGGTCAGCTCGCTCCCGGGAGAGGAAATCGGGTGCTCGGGGCTCCGTGTGTGCAGTCCGCCTTCCCCTCGCTGTGCTCGCGTAGGACCTGTGCTCCCCTCACGTGCTCGCTCTGCGTGGACGCAGATGCACACGTGTGTGGCTTGTAAGGTGACACACATGACAGACATGCCATCACATGCAAACTATCGCCATGTCGAAGGCCCATGATGCTGCAGCTTGAGGCACTGGATGAGGCAGAAACGTGGCCTCCCGTCCCCTGTGATCGTGTCTGATGAGCTGAGGAAGGATTTCCACAGCGAGGACGGTGACAGCCCCTGAGGGGACAGTGAGGGCGCCCTCCACACCCCTCCCTGCACCCACCCCCCTGGGACCAGGCGAGGCGCTCCTGCCTCCACAGATGTCCTCGTCCAGGGCTGAGGCTCTGACCACTGGGGACACTTCCGCCTTGGCGGCGGGGGCAGAGCCGGGTGGGGCCCAGCAGACACCTGCTGTCTGTCTGTAAGAGGCTCCTGCGGACATGAGGCCCTGCATGGCACAGCCCCTGGCACAGGCCTCAGACAGCATCCCCGTGGTGCCAGCCTGAGGGACAAATAGCGGGTCATTTGCCGGTTTGTGTGAGGGAGGGTGTGGCTTATGCACTTGAAGTCACGGAGATGTGAGCTAGAAGGCCTCCATGACGGATTCCTCCACGGCCCCGGCCACTGAGCTGCCCAGGCCGGAGCAGAGGCTCCGTGGCCTGCCACGTCCCCAGTACCTGCCACTTCCATGCGCCCCTTTGAGTGTCGTCAATAGACAGGTCCCCTCGTGCATACGCCGTGGTGGGGCTGGTGCCACCAAGCAGCCCAGGCGTCCCGGCTCCACTTCCGGGCGGCCCTGGCGGCCAGCAGAGGAGGCAGGGTCAGGGGCGCTGCATCAGGCTCCCGCTAGTGGGGTGTGGGGAGGGGAACGTGAGGTCGGTCTCCGTGGCCTGAGGCGCCGTGGCCTGCTCCCTTTCTTGCAGGAGAACCACGGCCTCACGCTCAGTGACCTGCCGCTGCACATGCTGAACAACATCCTGTACCGGCTCTCGGACGGCTGGGACATCGTGACGCTGGGCCAGGTGAGCCCCACGCTGCGCACGCTCAGCGAGGACCGGCGGCTCTGGAAGAAGCTGTGCCAGTACCACTTCGCCGAGAAGCAGGTGAGGGCGGCCGGGACCCTCGTTTAGGAAGGTCAGTGCGGCTGCTCCCCGACGGCTCATGCAGGTTTCTGTTCGTCTTCAGAAAGAGCCACGAGCTGATAAACCCAAAAACGAAACACACAGCAGGCCGCGTTCCCGCCCTCTGGGATCGGCACCGGGTGTCGCCATCTCCCTAACGGGCTCCAGCCCGCACCCCAGCCGTGGTTTTCTGGGCGGCGGGCCGCATGCCGCTGCCCACGTCTCCCCGCCTTAGCTCTGTGCTGCGGCAGGCAGGGCTGTGCCTGCGGGAGGCGGCCTGGCACTCCGATCCGAGCCAGCAGACACAGGGTAGGGGGTGAGGGAGCTGGTGGCGGCCGCCGGGTAATGGAGAACGGTGTGCATGTTAGCAGGTCCGCTCTGCAGCGCGGGAGAGGCTCCCTGCGGAAATGCAGGCCACAGGCGGTGGCAGCTGTGGGCGTGCTCTGCGTGGCAGGGCCCTGCGCCAGGAGGTGCGTCCTGAGCCCTGTGGACCCTCCTCTTTGCCTGGCATTGGGAACGGACCAATGATAGGCTGCGCCAAGGAAGGCGGGAGTGGGCAGAAAGGCAAACGTGGGCCAGCGGCGGGGCAGGTGCAGGTGCAGCAGTGCCCCTGGTCTCTGGGGTGGGGAGTCCCCGGTGGAGGCAGGGTGGGTTCAGATGCCTCCCAGGTGTCCGAGTGCAGCACATCGAGAGGCCCGGGTGTCTGAAGGACTCGAGAGCAGGAGGTGGGCCTCGGGCAGCTGGCTGACGGGGCTCCCAGAGGACACCTGCTGGACTGCGGGCTGTGGCGGGCGGCCCAGGAAAGCTCCGGGTGGACTTGGGGAGAAGCACAGGGCCCGGTGATAGGCTGGGGAAGGAAGAGGCTGAGCTCTGGAGTCGGCACAGGCGTGCAGGGGGGGTTTGTTCCAGGGAACCAGCGGGTGAGGAGCGTCTGCATGGCGGCCCGAGCTCCCGGGGGCCCCTCCCCAGGTGCCTGGCTGTTCCCCAGCTCCAGGGTCAGTGCGTGGCGGGCGTCTCAGGACATTTGTGAGGTCCTTGCGTGCATTTCCATAAAGGGCCACCTTATTTTTTTTAATACATTTTTATTGATCTCAGAGAGGAAGGGAGAGGAAGGGAGAAACAACAATGATGAGGGAGAATCTTTGATTGGCTGCCTCCTGGGGACCAAGCCACAACCTAGGCATATGCCTTTGACCAGAATCTAACCTGGGACCCATCAGTCCGCAGGCTGGCACTCTATCCACTGAGCAACTCAAGCTCGGCCACTGTAGAGGCTCTGTCCTCCTCACAGCGATTCCTGTCGGGGTCAGCACTGGCACCCACTGGTGCACCCAGTCTGCATGCTATGCGATCATATGGGAAGCTCAGGCGCCACCTGAGTGACTCCCGCTCCCCAGCGGGTGTGATGTGTCTCCTCCCAACTCTGAGGGCAGGTGCTGGCCTCTGGCCATTTGTGTGTCTTCATGGGACCTCTTTTCAAGGCCTTGCTCGTGTTGGCAGGTGATGTGTGTAGCTCACCACCATGTTAACATGGCTTTCCGAGTGCAGCCGGCATACAGTATCGTATCAGTTCGGGTGTGCAGCTCTGGGTGGCCTTATTTTTAGTGGAACAACATACGGGCTTCAGGCCAGACCTGAAGAGTGTCATGGCTGCGTGGGGTCCAGAGGAGGAACACGCAGCTCCTTTGATGTGTCCCTTGGAGTTAACCCGGCAGTTTAAGTCCAATAATTCAGTGCTTCCCGGCCTCCTGCCTCTTTAATGGCTTTGCACACCTGCTGACTGACTGAGCGTGTCCAGTTCTGCAGACACCTGATCCTCTCGGAGAAGGGCCACGTGGAGTGGAAGCTGATGTACTTTGCGCTGCAGAAGTGCTACCCGACACGGGAGCAGTACGGGGACACGCTGCTCTTCTGCCGGCACTGCAGCACGCTCTTCTGGAAGGTGAGCTCCCGGGGGAGGGGGGCAGCGTGGACCTCTGCACGGAGGCAGGCGTGAGCACACGGCGAGCCGTCTGTCTGTTAGCCGGCAGGACAGGCTCCTGAGCACATGCCCTGGGGTTCGGGTCCGAGCAGCGAGGAGGGGGCCTTTGGCCACTCCTTCCCTGGATGGCAGCCTTCCCGGGCGACAGGCCGTGTGCGGCACGTCCGAGGGGAGGCAGCACAGGTCTGCTGGCCCCTCGGGTCTCCCGAACAGAGGCTGCTCCTGGCCAGCGGCTCTCCCAAGCCCTGGGCCTGAGAAAGGGCGGCCTCGCTTACCTTTCCCCAGACGCGGCCTTCTTGTCCCACAGCCGTTTCCGGGCAGCCTATCCCCGTGCCTCCCGCCTCTCTGCTCAGAGCTCCACACACGAGTCCGCGTGCATGTTCTCATTGTGTGGTCAGAACTTAACACCCTGGTGCTTGTCAAGTCCAGTCCTTCAGTGAGGAGCCTGAGCCTGAGCCCGCCACACTCCCATCCCGAGCCCCTTCGGCCCTTCTCCGGAGACCCCTTCCTGTCTACTACCCCCCCCCCCGACCTCTCGATGGACCCTCTTCCTGTCTACTACCCCCCCCCGACCTCTCGATGGACCCTCTTCCTGTCTACTACCCCCCCCCGACCTCTCGATGGACCCTCTTCCTGTCTACGCCACACCCCCCCCGACATCTCTGATGGGCCCCCCCTTTCTGTCCACTTCCCACCCCCACAAATCTCCGATTTGAAAAACCTTTCTCTGGCTCCACTCACCCCCCAATCTCCGTGAACCCCCTTCATATTCAACTCTCGCCCCCAGACGTCTGATGACACCCCCTTCTGTTCAAGCTCTTTCCCTTTCTGCCCCCCCCCCCCCCCCCCCCCCCCCCCCCCCCCCCCCCCCCCCCCCCCCCCCCCCCCCCCCCCCCCCCCCCCCCCCCCCCCCCCCCCCCCCCCCCCCCCCCCCCCCCCCCCGACGCCTCTGAGGACAGGCTCTCCCGCTCAGGCTGAACTCCACTTGCCGCCGTCAGTGCCTTTTATCTTCTTCCCACGTGAACGTTCCACCTGCGGTGCTCTCCACGCTCTGCCCTGAGTGTGTGTCCTGGGAGGTTCTCCGGGAAAAAGCGGTGAAGCTGTAAAGGCTGCGTGATCCCGCCCGGCGTCCTGCGGCCCCCGCCCCGCCCTGGGGGCTGGCTGTGCCTGTGAACACCGTACCCGTGGCCTGGTGGCGCGTCCCGCCCGACTGCGCGGCCACGTGCAGCACCGGGAGCTGCAGTACCGGGGAGCAGGCGGGGGAGGAGGCCCTGCCGCCGCGCTGGGCCGCAGGCGGAGCCGGGAGGGCGATGGTCCCCTCAGTGCCCCTCCGCATGGAGTGGAGTCTGTGCACAGACCGGAGCCGTAGCCACGGGAGCGCTGGGACGCGGACAGCTAGGCACACACTCCGCTCCCCTCCCGGGCCATGGGCTCTGCTCCCGTCTCCGGGGACAGCGAGAGCACACTGAGGGGAGGGCGGCCCCTGCAGCCTGGGGCAGCCGAGAGAGGCTGGGGGAGTGACAGGTGCGTCTGCGAGCCGGGGCTGCCTCAGGGACATGGCGCCAGCACGTCACCTGCTGGCTTCTTTCAGTTGTTGTCACGCAGTGCGCACCAGCCGCCTTCTAAATCTCTCCCTTTCCCTCCTGCTCTCCTCCGGCCTGTCTTCACCTCCAGGACTGCCGCCTCGCTTTACTGCTCCAGGTACTCACACCTCCCCCTGCTCGGGACTAACCCGCCTGCCCCGCCAGGGCACCCCACACCCATCGCACCCGCCTGCCCAGGGGCATGGCCTGGGGCCTTCAGCCGCCATGCCAGGTTTGCAGGAAAAGCCCGAGTCCTGCATTTGGCGCGAGGCTCAGCCTTCGGGAGCTCGAGGGGCGTCCGCTCGGTGCCGGGGTGCTGGGCCCAGCGAAGGCGCTGCCTGTAATGTGGGCAGCTTGTCTCCCAAATTCCCCACTTTCCACACAAACCCCTCCTCCTGCTAAGTACAGTCCTCGCCTGCAGTTACTGGGGGCGTGGGCAAGGGAGTGTGGGAGTGGTCCAGGGGGGTGTGGGCGTGGGCATGGCCGGGAGCGTGGCTGAGGAGGGCGGCAGGAACCTGGGTCTCTGAGCAGAGGCGGCTCCGGGCTCCAGGCTCGCTGTCCGTCCAGCACGTGAGCTGGGGTTTCTGCTCCGAGAGCACGCGTGTGCGGGTGTCTTGGCTCTCGTGGCGCAGAGAGGGTCCGGGGTGCTCAGGCGGCGGGAACCAACCTGTGGGGCCTCTCCTCCTCCTGCAGGACTCGGGACACCCCTGCACGGCCACCGACCCTGACCGCTGCTCCACGCCCGTGTCCCCGCAGCACTTCATCGACCTCTTCAAGTTCTGAGCCTCGGGGCCGGCGCCCAGCCCGAGGGCAGCCAGCACCCCTGCCGCGTGCTGCCACCGAGCGGCGGCCCGGCAGCTTCCTGCTCCGGGCGGGACGCCGGCCGGTGTGCCCTTCGAGGGCCCCGGAGCCCGGTGAGACCGTGTCCGCTCCGTCTCTGAGAAGTTCTTTTCTCCGGGCGTTTGAAAACTCGCACCTTTGCCTACTTACAGATACGGTCCCAAAGGCCCTGGGTTTTGAGCGCCACTGCCCTGCAGAGCTGACACTAATGCAGTGACGGCTGGATGGTCACACGTCTCCAGGTTTTGCATAATTGGGGGGGGGGGTGTTTAAACCAGCAGTCCTTGTAAATACATTGTGCAGATTATTTATTTTTCTTAAGATGTATTGTAGCCACACTGGTTGTGACCAAATGACCTACGGCCGTGGTCGGCAAACTGCGGCTCACGAGCCACATGTGGCTCTTTGGCCCCTTGAGTGTGGCTCTTCCACAAAATACCACGTGTGGGCGCGCACATACAGGTCAACTGAAACTTCATGGCCCATGCGCAGAAGTTGGCTTTTGGCTCTCAAAAGAAATTTCAGTTGTCGTACTGTTGATCTTGAGTTTGCCGACCACTGCCCTAGGGGGATGTTTGTGTGTTTGTCCGGTGTTTGGCGATTGAGTTGTGAATTGTGCAGTGTCTGTGACCAGGACGGTGGGAGTGGTGTGGCCGCACACCGTGCTGCCCACGCCCTCGGACAGACACCAGCGTCTGGGACCTCGGAGCCCTGGGAGGGACGACTACTGAGCATGCCGAGTGGCAGCGGGCAGCCTGCCGTCTGTGGGAAACTGCTTTCCAGACAATAAACCATGTTTACTGACATACCCGGGTTTGCCTCTGACAAGACCGTAGTGAGTGATTTCACACTTATCTGAGCCTTTGAAACCTTTAAGAAATGGTTTTACTTTCAAAACAACGCAAGTCCATTTTTGGAAAACGTGTCTAGAGGTGTAGTCTGGCCGCAGCGCCAGAGTGAACGTGCTGCGTGCTCCTCTGTGCATCCTGCGTGCCGGGGCACAGGCAGCCGTCTGCCCCCTCCTCCGAACACACACCGAGAGACAGTGAACGGCAGGCAGCGCCCTGCCCTCCTCTGTGAGGCCGTGTCTCCGTGAACAGGGACTTGGACGGGCTGCCTCCGGTTGTGCCCCTGGTCTCACCCTGGTCCCGCCCTGGCCCGCCCGGTCCCCTGGGTCTCCCGAGCTTCCGCTGCTGAGCTTTGAAGGCTCGGAGCGGCGTTCCCGGCTCAGTGGCCACGGGCCAGCGCAGCTGCGGGAGCCTTTGAAGCCTGGTCTCTGAAGGAACGTCGCCCTCAAACCTCAGCGCAGGGCGTCTCCTGCCTCTCCCTCCCGGTGGGCCAGCTTTCCTGAAAACAGTCAGTCATCCAGCCGCACTGTCACAGCTGGTTTCAGAGGAAGGGGAGGGAGAGAAACACCAGTGTGCGTCATTGATCACTGCCTCCTGCGCCCACACGGGATCAGGCCCGCAGCACGTGCCCTGACGGGGAATGGAGCCAGGTCCTCCCGCTTCACAGGTCGACGCTCAGCCACGGAGCCACGCCGGGCGGGCTAAGGTACTGTTTATTTTGAAGTGTTTTTATTATGGGGAGAGGAAGAGAGAAATGGAAACGGCAGTGATGAGAGCCGTTGACCGCTGCCTTGCGCACGCTGACGGTAATTCCATCAGTCCCTCAGCCCTGGGCGGGGCAGCGGGAAACCATGAGACACGGCTTCCTGGGAAGTCAGACCATCTGCCTGGAGCGCAGGGGTCCCCGAACCAGGACGGTGACTCCAGGGGCAGCTGCAGGGGTGGGAAGTCGGTGCCCGGGAGGAGCCCTCTTCCTGTGCCTGCCTGCACTGGGGCTGCTCAGGTACGGGGTCTGGTTAGCGCCTTCTGCAGCCTTCCTGGCTCCCCCTCCTCTCCCAGAGCACAGACTAGCTTCCTAGAGATGTCACTGTTGTCATGGAAACGGCTTCACAACTCTCCCATCCCTGCAGCGCGCCCCCCCCCCGGCCTCTGCTGCCACAGGACACCCCACTGGCATGTTCCTTGTTTCTCAGCGGGAGCTGGAAGGCAGCTCAAGTCTCCAACTCACCAACAACTGACTCAGAACCCCGCAGCCGGCACAGGCCCTCACGCAGACAGCAGCGAGGCTGCTCAGGCCGAGCTCAGATGAAACATCTGCACGTAGTCCGCATTTAAAACAGGCCCCGGGCCTGAGGTGAGCAGCGGCCGTGCGTGGGCGCCAATGACAGGCCGACGACGAGGGACGACAGAAACGGCACTTTTATTTCTTGAAACCTCGGCATGAGGGTGGATTGGACCTCCTCTGCAGCCCTCGTTTTGTATTAAAAACACTAAAAACGTCAGAAGGAGCGGACACCTCATTCTTCACACTGCTGTCTGTACACAGAATTCAAACAAGACCCCCCAAACCAAACCGAATTTCTCTCGACCTGTGCCCAAATAATCGCTTTGGTAGGTTATTTTCTCCTGATGCACACCAATAAATATCTATATTAAGACCCACAGAGCCATTTTCACTGAGCCCCACACACCAGAACATCTCATTTGCATACATGTTTGCAGAGAAACGTGTGGTTTACAGTCCCCGCCCGACCCACCCCTGGCTCTGCCCCAGCACCACGGAAAGCACGTCGGTGCCCAGGCTCCGTCCAGTAGACTTCTTGTTCTCCTGAAAAACACAGATGGGGGAACAGACAGATGCTCGGCAGACAGACAGACAGACGCTCTGACCCTCCAGGCAGGGTCGTGCGGCCGGTCCCAGGAGTGACCGAGCCCCGGCCGGGGAGCAGCACCGTGAACCCTGAGCAGCCGGGACATTCCTCCCGGGATGCAGTGCAGCAGAGGGTCCTGTGCCAGGAACGATGCCCGGCTGGGTGTGCGGGCCGCACGCGGGACAGCTGTCCGGGGCCTGGCCCGCGTCACGGTGCACGGACAAAACCCGCACGGCAGCCGACGCAGCCCTCCGGTCCCACAAGCATCTCGTTTTTAAACGACACCGTGGGCATTCTAGAAGGAGGCACTTCCAGTGATTTAGACATTGCAGCCCTGTCACAAGCAAGTTAACGGCTTCCCAGCAAAATTAAGTGTCCAGTGACCCAGCGACCGGCAGGCACTGAGGGTTTTCTGTGACCAGAAAGCACGACAGGTTTCTAGAAGGAAATACAGATCGATATTTAAAAGCCCAGCAGCAGAAATAAAGCCTCAATCTACGCAGCACCGCCTCCACCTCTGCAGGGGGCGGGGGGCGGAGGGTGGAGGAGGGTGGCGGCGGGCGGAGGGGGCCGGCGGCAGGCAGCGTTCGCTTCTCTAGGATTTGATTTGCTGACAGATGTCTAATCTGAGAAGAAGTTTGAGTTTCCAGGATAAACGTGAGCCGTCACGCCATGTGTCCACCCCAGCGGCCACGTTCAGTGTCACCGTCGGCTCCCACGGTTCCACGCCGGAGTCACCATGTCATGCGGCAGACGGGTGCAGCTGAGGACGGCGGGGAGGTGCTATCTGGTCCCCGTGGGGCAGCATCCGTACCTGCACCCAGGTCAGAAACGGCAGACACGCCGGCCTGGATGGCCTGGCGTGGCCGGCAGGACGCGGTCACAGTGTTGAGATGCGGGAGATGGAACGTGGGCAGAGTGGACTCTGCTCTCTTTAACCTGAAAGACTAAGAACTCGCTAGGCTACGGAGACCCCTGATACGGCACACGGGCTCTGAGTGGAGGAGCCGGAGCCGCACTGGGGCCGAGGCTGTGGTGCCAGCGCCGGGCACAGACGTCACTCCAGCTCCTCCCAGCTGTCGGCGAGGTGGCCGCGGCTCTGGCGCCGGATGCTGACCAGCTTCCCGGCCGAGCGCAGGCTCCAGCGCGAGCCGCCCCCCGGGCCGGCCAGGCTGGTGTACTTGCCGGCGCCCTTGGCCCCCTCCTCCCAGCCCGGCCGGGACGCCTGGTCGCTCAGGGCGCCCGACTCGGCCGCCACGTCTTCGAGAGCGAGCTTCGGGGGCTCCCAGCCCTCGATCTCGTCCGGCTTCTGGGGCTGAATGCTCGGCTTTAGCACCAGATTGTCCCAGAAGCCAGACTTCTTCTCCGCCTTCAGCTCCTCCTTCAGCCGTAAGCTGGTTCTGCGGGGACAGAGGAGGGGTTTGGGGGGTGCAGGGGCCTCAGATTCGACCCATTTTTGTAAATAAAGTTTCTTTTTCTAAAACCATCTAAGCTGTGTGGGAAGCTAATGCCGATCCGTATGTAAAACCTGAAACAGCAAAGTCAGAGGGAGAACTCGTCCCACGGGTTGCTGCTGACACTAATGAGGCCGCATCTCAGACCCAGACGTGGACATGCACACGGGCGGGTTCTCAGGAGACACGCCTGGGGCTCACGTGCTTGCCAGCCGGCGGCCAGGCCCAGGGCCCGGACTCCATCGGGGAGAATGCCTTTCGACACACGGCCCTGGGAGACCATGCCCGGGGCACTGCCGTGCGGGACCCGCCTCCCGGGAGGAAGGTGGTCCCAGCGACGCCCGCCCATGAAGCGAGGCGGCTCGGGGCTCAGGGCTCAGGTGGACGCTGGTCTGCAGCTCCCACGCTCCTCCGCCTGCGGCTGGCTGCCTCCTGGCCTTCCCGCAGCCCCATCAGCGCCCGTCCTCTCCAGACACCCAGGGGAGGAGCCCCCATGCCACCTGACCGGCCCTGCTGTCCCACGTGACCGGGAGGGAGGGGTGCGGGGGGCCGAGACGAGGGGGGCACCCACTGAGGCCTGGCCTGTCTGCGGACCGTGTCCCCCCTCCCCGTAGGGACTTACCCCCTGGACTTGGGAGATTTGCATCTTCCCAGCAGGTGCTGCTCATCGTCGTCATTAAACAGCGAAGTCACTTCTTTCCAACCTCGGAACCCTGCTCCCTGCACCAACAAAGGTCAGGAAGAGGTCAGGCCTGGCAGCAGGTACACAGGTCTGGTTTTGTGACAAATTTGTTGAGCTGGGCCTGGGAGAGAAGCTGGGCCTGGGGGAGAACCTGGGCTCTGGGACAGAAGCTGGGCCTGGGACAGAAGCTGGGCCTGGGGGAGAAGCTGGGATCTGGCAGAGAAGCTGGGACCTGGGAGAGAAGCTGGGCCTGGGGGAGAAGCTGGGACCTGGGAGAGAAGCTGGGATCTGGGGGAGAAGCTGGGACCTGGGAGAGAAGCTGGACTGCGTCTCCTGGGGTCGCAGCTCCTCCTCCCTCAGCAGCAGGCGACCTCCGCCATCCCGCTGTGAGGACAGCCACTGCGGTGACCATCCGTCTGTGGTGCCCATCCTCGCCCTGCTCTCACCCAGGCGGGGTGGCCGAGCTGCGACCCCAGGACGGGTCCCTGCGGGTGCCCACGGGCGGCTGCAGAGGAGGGAAGGGGCCACGGCTCTGCAGTCGGGTGCGTCCTGGGCCTACGCCGGCCTCAGAGCAGAGGCACAGCTGTCAGAGCAGGCCCAGATAGGAGAGACTCTGCCCATCCCGCACCCGAGTCCCACTCCCTGTGGGTGGCCTCTCTCCCATCAGGGAAGCGGAGGGGAGCGGTGGGGAGGGGAGGGTTGCAGAGGGCGGCTCCTGGGGGACAGACCTCGCTTTACAGAACTCTGAAATGTTCCTGTTGCAACTTGAAAGGAAAGGGAACCGAGGGCTGTGTGCCAGGCTCCTGTGGCCACCCGGGGCCATCCAGAGCCGCCTGGGCCACCCGGGGCTGCCCAGGGCCACCCGGGCCACCTGGGCCACCCAGGGCCACTCAGGGCCACCCGGGCCACTTTGGGCACCCAGGGCCTCCCAGGCCACTCGGGGCCACCCAAGGCCACTCGGGGCCAGGGAATGAGAGCTCAACATCGTCCCCAAAAGCCAGCCCGGAGGCCATCCCTGGTGCCAGCTGAGACAGTGGGGTCCCGGAGGACGAGGACCTGGCAGGCGGTGAGTGCCAGTCCCGTGCCCCACGCCCGGCGAGGACCCACCACCCTCCGTCTGAGCAGCCCGGGGGCCACGCCGACGGCCCCCAGCAGCCGGAGGCTGGCTGACACCCGTGTCTGTGGCAAAGCTCCCGCTGTGTCCCAGCTGCCGGTGTCCTGGCTCTGACAGCTCCCACAACGATCAGGCACAGACCTCACCGGAGCGAGGGCAGCCGCGTGGCCCTGCGGCGACAAAGGAAACAGGCCCCCAGGCCCCAGAGGAGGAGGGATCGCGCGCCCGTCCCTGTGCCCACACCGCCCGTCCAGACCACCCAGCATCGGCGCTCACACAGGCCCCTCCGCAGGTCGGCCGCGTCCTGGGCCGGCACCTGGGCCTCCGGAGGGTCTGTCTGAGGGCGGGAGGGACCGAGACCCTCACCGAGAGCACGGCCGGGGCCCCGGGTGATGTGGTGACAGGGCCGAGGGCCGGGCGCCTGTCCGCTGGGCCTGGGCCCTGGGGAGGGGGTTCTCGCCGGCAGAGGCGGGAGCGGGAGCCGGGCCGGAGGCTGCAGTGCGGGTCCCGCACGGCCCAGCGCTCTGCCTGCCCGCTCTGCCGGCGGGAGCCCCCGGCCGCCCCGCACGCCGAGTCAGGGCGGTCCCGGCCGTGCGGGAGGCCGTCCCCTGCGGAGCCCGATCCGCTGTGTCAGGGAGAGCGCCAGGCTGCGGCCCTGGCCAGCCCCGTGGGGAGTGGGGGCCCTGACCCAGAGCCCCGAGGGGGACCTCCCGGCAGGAGGGAGCCCCTGGGCGGGAGGGCGCCCGCTGCCTGGGCCCAGCGTCCATCTGTCTGCTCTGGGGCCACGACAACACGCCAGGCACACGCCAGGCACACGCCAGGCACACGCGCTGCAGAGGCCACGTGAGGGGCACCCTCCTCCCCCGCGGGAAGCAGTTACAATGCCCATCAGAAAGCACGATGACTCCAACACGGACCAGCTGGGTCACCTTCCGGAGACCGGAGCCGGGCTGGGGGCGGCGTCCTGTCTGTCTGCCCCTCCGTGGGGGCCGGGCCGCTGAGGCGACGCTGTGAGTCCACACGCACAGCCCGGACCCCACGCCCGGCGGACCGGCTCGGTGCTGCTGACCGTGTGCTGGTTCTGACCCGCCTGGCCACGTGGCTCTCTGGCCACCTGCCCCGCAAGGTCCCCATCTTCCCTTTCCACCAGGACCGCCCACCAGCCACCCTCAGCCCTCCCCTTACGGGAGGGAGGCCCGGAAACCTCCGAGCAGGATCTCCCCGTCACAGACACGGTGGCTCCCTGTGAATGTGGAAAGGCAGCAGCCGACTGTGAAAGCCTCCGCGCCTGGAACGCTGTGTGAAACCACAGAAAGGCCCGCGGACACGCGCGCGGACGTGAGGGAACGGGAGACGCGGCGTGGAAAGTGCCCCGTGTTCGTGGGCGCGCCGGCTCGGGTGCCTCTGCAATTTTAATGCGTCAGCGGGCGGCTCGCCCGGCCTGGCCCGGCGGCTCAGGCGCACAAAGGGCTGTTTGAATGGGTTCCAGCCGGGAGCGAGGCCGGTGGCCGCTCCGCTGCCAGGTCCCTGGGGCTACGGGCCTGGCGGCCTCCGGGAGCGGGCTGGCCTCACACGCCCTCCGCTCCCGGGTCCCTCCACCTGCTGCCGCGCCGAGTCCTTTTCTCTCGGGTTTTCTTTCCCCCATTTCTAAAAAGTACGCATTTTTATTGCTTTTAGGGAGAAAGAGAGAGTGAAAGAGAGAGAGAGAGAAACCTCAGTGATGAGGGAGAACCATGGATCGGCTGCCTCCTGCACGCCCTGCACTGGGGATCGAGCCCTGTGGCAACCTGGGCCTGTGCCCTTGACCGGAATCGAACCTGGGACCTTTCAGGCCGCAGCCAACGCTCTAACCACTGAGCAGCACCGGCCGGGCTCTTCCCCTGCCGCCCTGCAGGCAGCACTGATGTGTCTGTGGAGCCCTGAGCCCGAGCAGGGTGGGGGTCCGGTGGGTGGAGGCACCGGCCTCGTAGGCACCGGCCGGGTTCCCACCCTCCCTGTCGGGGGGCAGAGGCCAGGTCCGCCTCACAGGACTGTCATCCCAGGCGTTCTCCCTCCCCATCCGGCGCCCTCCTCTCCGGGCGCCGCGGCGCCGCTCGGGGACCAGGCGGGGGCGCTCCCCTCGGCCCGCCAGCCATCGGAGCCTGGGTGCGGCCGCCCCATCGTCTCCCGGGAAACGCTGCCTCCTGTCCTTTCAGACGCTGCCGGGACGCTGGGCGGCGAGCGGGAGACGGACGCCCAGCAGCCTGGGGCGCGGGGGACGGGCCTTCCCTCCACAGCACGTTCCCCGCCCACAGACAGCAGGCTCTCTGCCCCCGCCGACCTCGTCCTTAACGGTGTGCCAGCGGCAACGGCGGCCTTCCCACAACCCTGCACGCCTGAGAGGGACACACGCATGACACGTGTGGGGAACGGCGCTGACCTGGACCAAACCCACGGCCCTGGCCGGCGGCTCAGTGGTTAGAGCGGCGGCCGGTGCACCGACGGGTCAAGGGTTCGATTCCCAGTCCACGGTGTGTACCTGGGCTGCAGGTTCAACCTCTGCCCTGGTTGGGCACAGGTGGGAGGCAACCACTTGATGTCAATGTCTGTCTGTCTGTCTGCCGCTCTCTCTCCTCCTTCCTCCTCATCTGTCCTCCTCCCCCTCTCCCTTCCACTCTCTCTAAAAGTCATTGGGAAAAATATCCCCAAGTGAGGATTCACAGAACAAGCAAACAAACAGAAAACAACCCACAGACACCCCCACGCGGCAGTGTGGTCAGGCGCCCGGTCTGGGCACCTCCCAGCAGCCAGAGGGACCAAGATGCTTACAATGCCGGTTTCTAAGGATGGGAAGAGTCCCAGTCCAAAGACCCCACCCATTCCTCTGTCGGCGAGACTGCGAAGCACAGGAGCTGTGTTTGCTAGAAAGACCCCGGAGAGAGGCCCGCCGCCGGCCGCAGAAGCCGAGGGAGATTCCGGCCGCGCCTCGCGTCCGTCCGGGAGAGCCTCCGCTCACTGCGCGCCCTCTGTCCACCGGCCCCGGGACCGGCGGCTCCTCGAAGCCCAGGTGAGACGGGCGGAGGCAGGCTCCCCCGCGCACTCCTCCCTCCCGGCCCCACACACGCCCCGCCTGGCACTAAAGCAGCAGCGAAGGCGAACGGGCCTACTGAGTCCTAAAACTTCAAACTCGGAGAAACCTGGATTCCAACTGCCAGCGGCCCACGGCGTCACAAGCTCTCCTAACTGCCCGCAGCCCCACTGTGTGCTTGCTGTGGATGAAACACACGTCACGAATCGCTGCTCTCCGGGAAACACAGGGCAGGGACTGAGCCCTGGTCACCGTGTTCGTCAGCCAGTCCTAACCTGTGTCACGCGTGTGTACGCACAGGCGCCGCACTGCTGCCAGCCCGCCCAGCGCGCTTTCTCCACGGACACTCCAGCCTCCCCGGGAGCCAGGCGTGGGCACTGAGCCCGAGCGAGCCAAACAGCAGCGCCAGCACAGAGCACTGACTCTAGCACACGGAGCCGGACCAACACCGGGGGCCGCGCACGCACCCTCGGCCGGACGTGGGCCTCGCGGCTGCGAAGACGGAGGCTCCCCGGCCCTGGACTGGGGTGAATTCCCAAACACGGAGAGCCACGGAGCCACGGAGGTGTGCAGGCAGAGGCTGGCGACCGCGCTGGACTCCGGTTGTCCTGATGCTCAGAACCACGTCACCCCCTCATGTCCCCCCTGGCCGATCACAGGAGCCAAGGCCGTCCTCAAGGCCGCCAGCAGAGACTGGCCGGCCGGCTGCGTGCCCCCTCCGCCGTCCGCCCGTTCCCGCACCCGGGACGTGCGACCCCACGTCAGGACTGCTGCGACGCCCAGCACCACGGACAACAGACACGTGTGGCACCTCCGTGCACACGTGCACAGTTACACACACACACACACACACACAC